CTGATGAGAAATTATTGAAAAGAATATTCTTCGTTCATACAATTGTGTTTTTAATATAATTTTTTCGATAAATTTTTGTGTCTGTTTATTCCTATGTCATTATGATCCGTTATATTATCGGCCACCGAGATTAATGATATGAAAATAAAGTTTACATAGTATCATACTTTGAATAAAAGTTTTCGACCAAATGAGACAAGAATAGTGTGAGTTCATGACTATTTCATAATAAAGAGGCTGGATATCATATATACAAAAGGATTTGATAATTGAAATGTATCCTTTGTCAAAATCAGACAAACTTATTGTCAGCATAGACACACAGAGATGCGTGATATACCTCTTCACGGTACGGACGTGCGTTCATATTGAACCAATTTCTGTGGTTTCAGCTAGTTCAGAGAGTCAGTAATTCACCTTCTTCAGTAAGATTTTTGGGGACATTATACTAAACTGTGAAGATGATCACGGAGACCAACCAATTGATACCTCTTTTTGCGGAACGACTCCAAAGTCAGACAAATGATAAGTTAAGGGGGATGGAATGCAAAAGTATATGAGAAGTAAAATCAATATACTGTATTCTATGGAATATAAAGCAACTAGTGGTCGTCAGAGACGTGCAGTGCGGAATGTCCAGGTGTGACCTAGTGGGGATGCTTGACAGAAAGCCCACAGATAATGCTGTAATGGACAGGATTAATAACGCCAGCATCAGTATCGAAGTATCGCTACTTATTTTGAAGACTTACTAACCAGTGCGACCGAAATTCCTCTTTAACTAGCTAAAAGATTGTTATACCTGGCTCAAGCATCGTGGAGTTCTGGATAACATATTCACCACGTCAAGTAAATGATCAGTCGCACAAGTAATTATAATAGACCCCGAAAATGGCGGAAATAGAAAGTCAATCGTGATAATACAGCGGAGACAGTGCTACAACAAACAATTACTACGATGTCCATTTCAGTAAAGTCTTAAGGGCACCTACGATAATTCTTACTATTCAAAACCTCCAAAACTTTTAATAACAAGAATTCATTCTAGATGGTTCTAGAGCGCAAACCTGACAATATGAGCAATTGTGTTCAAACAAAATGACCTATACGGAAATTCCACTATTTTTTAAGGATTACTGAATATGAAGCTTGCTAGTGGCAGTTGTAATTATCCACAGTGCTTACTATACCTATTGTCTGATTTCCAAATCTTTATCAGTTTCCTTGCTTTAGTTAAATTCGCAGAACATGAGAAGTGGTGTTATGCCGTAGTGAACTGGCTTCCATAGAAGTCCTGGGTCTTCGTGCATCAATCGCCTGAAAACCGTTATTAAAGTAATCCGAGCAGTGTATGGATCCAGAAAACAACAGGAAGGGCCAATTGCAGTTGATCATCAAATAGTTCAAATAACTAAGCCACAGGAACACCAAAAGAATTCGAGTGGAAATATTGACAGGAGCTGGCGAGCAAGAAAATACAGAGGCGAATTAAGAGTCGAATAAAGAATCGAATGGAGATTCGAATCAACTAGTGAGATTCAAACACATAAATATATATATGAGAAAGCGATTCGAAGCGGAGAAGGATAGCAAACCAACCCGGGTCGATAAAGCGAGACTCAATATTTACGGTCAGACAAAAATAAGCTATAGACATGTGTTGAATAGAGTAAGCAATACACACCCACACGCTCATACAAAGACAGTTAATGTTAATAGGTGAATAACTAACAGCGTCGAAATGTGGCTTGAGAAGTGTGAATGAGTTGGTCTGTTCGAGAGCTAGAACAATGTAAATGGGCTTGAAAATAGCACTAGTCACTACAACAGAAGGATAAGTTATCGAGCAAATTTGTAATATTCAGGAACTTCTCATTCAGTGCAACTTTAATTTTCTTTTGGACTACAATGTATGACACGCAGTTCATTGATACTATCAAACGGAAAAGGACGTGTCCGTGAATTACCTAGTACATCTACCCCTCAGTGTCCAACATGTGTATCACATCTAGCATTTCACCGTCCATTCTGTGAGTGAATACTAACCTGAAGAGAGAAATCGAGGTTGAGGACTTCACTTGTAGCTCTAACTTCCATTTTATTTTCTAATATCGTCGAACCAGTCAAGATGCAATGCAGTGGCATACTCACAAAAGAAATATAAAGATAACTCAAGTTGATCGAATTAAATGGGACCTTGTGTGGAGGACTGAAGCATTAGAGAAACGAACAGAAGGCTCCGAAGACACATCTCACTTATGTCGAACACTATAAGAGAATGGCTATCTTCGTAATTCTTCATCTATTAGTTACACTGAAGGTAACTGAAAAATCACCATCGTTTACTACGTTTAAGCCTCACCACCAAATATCTTCCTTGTCCCTCCAACATTGTCTAGTTCTTCGAAGACAAGTTTGCATTTAGAAGAGGGAAACACGGACTAAAATTGAAACAGACTGATCACACTATTTACTGTGATGATTCCAAAACAGTGGATCCTCACATTTTTATACTAACACCCAAAAAATGTGAAACTCATTTCTAGGAATGATGCCAATGTCACTGCAGTCCAACTTTCAAAAGTACTACTTCCACCTACAACAATGCCTAAGAATTTGATGAGCTGTGTAGTTTATATTTCGTAAGTGATTAAGCTTGCCAGTAAGAGTTCGTCATTTAACATATGCCAGTAGCAGATGAAGGCGAGGATATCGACACGTAACAAATATTCTATAATTGCACTCACAAGTGCTTAGATCCACTTCATAATGCTTTCTACATGCTCCCTAACTTCACTGTTTTGTCGCAGCATATGCATTACTTGCTTTCGAGTACAACCTGAAATATATTTCTATACACTTACCAGTGGAGTTTAGCTTTCATAGTTTTGACATCAGCAGCGGTAACCTGCTTACTAGTTCTCTCCTTAATACTTTCTATAACTTCATCTGTTGACTGAGTGCAATATTACTGGCTTCAAGTTTTGATTTTCTTTGGATGACAATCTTCTACTGCACGGATCACAAACCATTCATGAACTACTACAAGGATGGTAGTGAGACATATTGTAAGATTCTATGACGTATTCTTGACCTTCCAATCTTATACGAAACCTAGATTGGCAGTTTAAAAACTTGGACTTTAAATGTCACAGGTTAGTTAAAGTCCTCACGGTTTTTTATTCACTGTCAGACCTGCTGATTTACGTTTACGACCAAACATGCAATGAGACGCCACAAAAAAGTATTCATATATCATATCCTTCAACAATTTACTTTCTGCGTGAACATAGTGCGTATGTTTAATATGAGAAAACATAGTTATTCTTCCATAATTTATGGAAATCCTTAAGCACATTATCAAATTCAATCCAGCTTCCGTGTCGCTTGTTCAGCATAATACATTGAAACGCCTCACTTACGTCCGCTGAAATTTCACTTGAGCATGAAGCACTACAGACAACACGCATTAATTATTGAAAAGTTATTCCTTGGGAAAAAAACAACTGAAAGAAGTACAACAAATATTTAGGACTTTTCGTTGAGTTGACATTTCTCCTTCTTTATTTAACTGCGACTCACAAAACTTCGTGTATCTATAACGTTTAACATTATCTTATCCTTCTTACGTTGTTCTGTGGACCTTATCAACAAATTATATAAAAGTGTTGACGTTCACTACAGCAGTCGAGATCACAGATCAAGTTAAGAACCAACAACAGAGCTAAAGTGTACACTACAAAACACAGAATGCCAAATTGACGCTCTTAGCAGTTATTTTGTGCTTTTACCGCTTCTACAAAGGCCGTTCAGGGTCGTTGAAAGGAAACGGCGGGCAGATTCGAAGGAGCCTACCTTTTTTCCCATGCCCTACTTGTTTCAGAACTAATTTTATCTCATAACCAACCTACACTCTCGAACTTCTCAAATATCACTGTCACAGTTTTAGCTCCATCATATATGAAACCTACTTTTGATAGGTCGAACACATCTCACAAAAAGCATTTGCTTTATGGATTTTGGTCGACCAATTTTGAATGCTGAACAATAATTTGGAGATAGTCCACTAAATACGAAGCTAATGTTGCTTCAGAGAAAGTGCGACTTTCACCAACCTGGAAACAGAAACCTTCAAAAGTCGCCATTGAGAACCAACTAAAAGAGTAACAGTGGCAATAGAAATGGTTTACATTTTTTAGTATTAAATGTGGGAATTAATATGAAATTTCTTAATACGGATAAATCGGAACTAAGTCTTATCGATTCAATAATTCGTTGAATGTAAACAAATCTCCAGGTAAGAAGAATCTACACTACAACAATCAGGATGGGTTAACATATGATGTACTGGCAGAGGGCTATTCTGTCTGAAGATTACATTGCAGGCGTCAGACAACGCAACTACTTAGGAAAACGTGATAGCACGATTGCACTTTAAATTCTTCACACTTCGAAACATTGTATAGACTGGCATAATCCCCTCCCCACCAAATAAGTGAACAGATGAAATGAAAGCCCAATGCGTAACCATGTACGTATGTACGAACCAATATTCATCGACAGTAAGACTGAAAAATCGGTGGGACAAGTAGAAATAAGCAAGTAACAAAATTGAAAAGATCGTTAACATTACTATTATCTTCGCAATAAAGTTATATCACTATCCAGAACCAACCTTATGCACCATGAATAAACCGCTCAAAATCTAGGTTAACTACGCGAAATGAATTAAAATGTAAATTATATATAAACCACACAGAGGAAGATGAAAAAATGATTAGTAAACTATTTGAAGTTTGTGTGTCACGCAAACAATAATGAATTTAAAAATTATTATTCACTTCAAGGTATAATTTTATTTGTTAGAATCCAGTATCTATAAATAAGGTTTCCAAGACAAAGTAGTTTAAATAATATTCAAATTTAAATGTTCAGTAGTAACTGAGGTGGAGAACAATAAATCAAAATTCATTTAATTTCACTCTCCTGTGTTTAACAATCTAAATGTTGATATCAACACGACTGATTTGTTGCTTTAGTTTTCTAAAATGGAACAACCAAATTCCATACATAAAAACTAGACAAAACATTATATAAGATTATTTGACAAAACTTGGTTTGATCAATAAGTGCTTACTTACGCCTGTTACCCCTCGTGGAGGAGTATAGGCCACTCACCAGCACTCTCCATTCAACTCTGCCCTGAGCAATCCTTTCCAGTCGCTATTCATTCTTTTCACGTCTGATTCCAATTGTCGGCGCGATGTGTTCTTTGGTTTTCCTCTTTTCCGTTTACCTTCAGCATTCCAAGTTAGCCATTGCTTCGTAATGCAGTTTGGTGATTTCTCAAAGTGTGTTCTACACACTTCCAACGTCTTTTCCTAATTTCCTCTCCAGATGGAAGCTGCTTTTTCTTCTCTCACAGTAAACTGTTGCTTATAGTATTCGGTCAACGGACATTGAGTATCTTGCGTAGACAACTGTTTATAAATACTTGTATCTTTTTGATGATGGTTGTAGTTCTCCAAGTTTCAGCTCTATACAGTAGGACTGTTTTGACGTTCGTATTGAAGATTCTCACTTTGATGTTGGTTGACAGTTGTTTTGAGTTCCATTTGTTATTGAACTGTACGAATGCGGTCCTTGCCTTTCCAATCGTCACCTTTACGTCTGTATAGGATCTTCCTTGTTCATCGATGATGCGTGAAGGATTCCACATACTCCTGAGCTTCTCCGTCGAGTGTGATTGGGTTTGTGTTCTTATTGTTGTATTTGTGGATCGTGCTTTACCCTTTGTGTATGTTGAGGCCTACTGATGCAGAGGTTCCTTGTACACTGTATGTCTTCATCTGCAGTTGTTCGCGTGTATGGGACTGAGGGGCCAGGTCCAAATTTAGTTGATTCCGAGCTGTTCATTGTCATCCGTGTTTTCTTTCAGATGTAGAGGTCTTCAAAATGCAGTTGACCACTGAACGAAAGAGTATGAGGGAGAATAGGCAGCTTTGTCTGACTTCGGCCTTTACTTGAAATGCGTCTGTCAGCTGACCTTCATGCACGACTTTGCAGTGCAGTCCATCGTATGAATTCCGCATGACATTGACGATGTTCTCAGGTACACGATAGTGCGGAAGAAGTTTCCATAGTCATCTCCTATCCACGTTGTCAAATGCTTTCCCATAATCAGGGAAGTTATTGTATGATGATGAATTTTACTCAATTGATTGTTCAACGATGATCCGTAGTGTGGCGATTTGGTCTGTGAACGACCGATCCTTACGGAATCCAGCCTGTTGATCTCCGAGTTGGACGTCTAATGTATCTTTCATCCAAATCGGCAACACTCTGTTGAAAACGTTTCCTAGTACCGATAGTAGTGTGATTCCTTTATAGTTCTCACATTCGCTCAGATCTCCTTTCTTTGATATCATAATGAGGTGTCCTTTTTTACAGTCTGTCGGCACTTATTCTTCCCCCAAACTTCCTGAATAGAGTTAGAAGCATGCTTGCAGTTACTTCCATGTCTGACTTTAGTGCTTCAGTCGGGATATTGTCAGGTCCTGCTGCTCTTCCACTCTTGATTTGCATTGTTCGGACGTTCCATGTACCTATAAAAATTGTTGCTTTGGTTGTTAGAAAAACCATCGGCATCGTGACCTCCGAAGAATCTAGGCTTTCATTATGAGACTTCATAATTCTTCCTTTAACTCTCAGGGAACAGTTTAAGTGGTTTAATTCGTTTAATCTGATTAGCTTCTTTAGCAAGATTTTTTTCTATGGGATGAGTTTGCCGACCCCACACCTAACCCTCCTCCTTTACTCGGGCTTGGGACCGGTAGTACCCTTAGAAGTGCTACAGGTGGAGTTTGCCTCGTGAATAGAGTATATAAAAAGCTGTGATATATGTAAGATGTACTAATCGAAAAACCAAATCATTTTTTGGAAATAATCAATAAAATTAACGAAAACCAAAATAAGTACTATCAATGGCGTGAAGCAAATTTATAAATCTTTCGCTGTGTGCATTCAGTTGTTAGTGTCTACTGCAGGAATAAGTGGGAATGCGAGTTCGCATCACACATTCTCATACTATATTTTCAATATCATAATAAACTACATTAAAATATTTTCATAAATGACTAGTAGTCTGTTTTTAGTCACCGTGAACTTTGAATTTTCCTTTTTTTCTTCATGAACATGTAAAGCAAGAGTAAGGAATATTTCTTCCTAATTTTATAGGAATGTAAAAAGGAATCTAATTTCACGTTACCAGAGTAATACAAGGATGGCAAATGAATCCGCTATTTCCTTTTGACAACGAGCATATATGTGAAACCAGGCTATTGAAAGCGATATAGGAACAGTTACTTCTACTTGATTAAGGATATGTTTAAAGTATCGATTATCTATGATGAGTCAAGTAGAAGGATGTCCTTATATTTTATAAAGATAACAAGGCAAAAACAATGTCATCAGTTGATGAAGTTTTGGATTTATATCACCTGACTGCGCACGAAAAAGGTTTAGAGCATATTCAAACAATACTAGCTACAGTTCACTATTCGGCTGAAATAAAACTAAAGTTGACCAGGAAATATAATTAATTCACAAAATTACTGAAACATACAGCTCTACTCTAAAATTAGTGAGACAACTAGAAACCGACGCATGGTAACTAGATGCATAAAGGTCAATTTTTTGACAATAATACGTATACTTATTTATTTGAACACATAAATATTGGTACAAGAGGGCACCAAATACATATGCGCCACATATGGCCACATAAAACGATGAGAATTTGAAGAGAAGAAGGAAGAAAATGAAAGGTAAGGAGCGTTAAAAAAAGAACAACGAACAAATTAGTGTAAGGTAGTGTAATAATAACAATGAGGGACACAGAAACGTACAACCAGAAGAGATCTTGATATATCGGAGTTATAGTGCTTCACTTTCCGGTGAATAGAGATCCCAATCAGTCTCACGTAAGGATGTTAATATTGTTTTCGGTATTTTGAGTGTACAACTGTCTGCAAAAAGGAAATATATTGAAATCTGGATAAATAGAATAACCATCAGACTTTAGATTGACACGCGGTCAGATATTCCTCTGATTTTTCGTGATACTTTGCAAACACTAGAGTCCTCACATGTCACACGGAGACAGAAATGCGTTCGGTGATCTAATAAAACCGGCCGGTGGAATTGAATATGATGTCTTATTCAGGTCTGAAAGTACCTGAAGTAAATATTGCCCCACAAATCGTCATGACTTCGATTTTCTTGGGATTGATTGGATATAGCATCTCTCATTATGGAATATGCTACTAAATTTCATTTGTTACGGGTTTCACTCTCAACTCAGAAATTCACTAGTAGCGAAATAAACTCTCTTATTAAATGTATTAAGTCGAAATATAGTTCAGTATTCAGTGAAGTGGGAGTGTTGAACGGTGAAGAAAGCAGTTTTATGTCTGCAAGTGAACATTTAACTTGTCTTCAAACTTAAAAGACCAGTTCCATATGCATCAGTATCAGTATCAACAATTGCCATTCAGTGTGAAGGCAATGAAATTCCAAATTATGGATATTACGACAGGTGCAATACCAGGAGTTTCTGCCTACTGGAATGACATCATCATTACTAGAGCTATTCAGGAGGAACTGACCAGACTTCCAAGATAAGTGAAGTTGTCGACGCGTTCGACTACTTCACTCCCTATCCTTAGTTCAGCTGTTGATGCAGACCAGTCCTGAAGCATCAGCTTGCATGTAGAGGGAGAGAAGTGCATTTCAAACATTCTGGCATTGTTGCTTAGTGCTACCAAAAGACTGCATTTTATCAGCGTCTTCACCAAACAGGACTATGTCATCTGCGCATTCTAAGTCGATAAGTGGACCTCCTGGAAGGAGATCAATACCCGAGAATTCAGTAGACGAGAATGTTATTTCCATCAATAGGTCTATGATGAAGTTAAACAGAAATGGAGAAAGTGGACAGCCTTGACGGACACCACTTGAGGTTGCAAAGGTAGATGACAGTTCGCCATAAGCTCTGACTCTATTGGTAGTGTTCAAGTAACGAGCCTCCACAAGGTTTATGTATTTCTCAGGTACACCTTTCAATGACAGACACTACCACAGAACTCTCAGTCAAATACTGCTTTTAAGTCAAGAAAGACCACCATTGTCGGACGCCGATAAGTATGCCTGTGTTCTAGAACCTGACGAATGGTGAATATGTGGTCGATGCAGCCACGACCAGGTCTGAAGCCAGCCTGATTTTCTCGTATTGACAGTTCACGAGTCTTTGTTAAGCATCCGATAATTATCGAGGCTAGTATTTTAGTTAAACTAATCCCTCTTTAGTTATCACATGATGATTTTGTCCCTTTCTTATACATTGGGACATTAAGTGATTGTGACCGGTCAGATGGGACAACGTCCAACTCCTAGGTCTTAGCTAAAATATTAGTCAATCTAATCGCTAAAATTGGACCACCATCCTTGAAGACATCTGGAGCCAATTGATAAGTCGTGTAGGTTGAACGCTATATACGAATCATAAGCTATTCCCGTAACCCGCAGACTAGAACTACAGAGCGACTTGAACTCCAGAGAGAAGACACAAGTATGAGAGAAAACACTTTATCCCAAGGTTCATTTTAGTACAGAAAATCAAGGGTATTTATAGATGTTGGCGTCTGTTAAATCAACATCATATTTCAGCCAATCCGTTAACGTCATATTATGCTACCGACCAATGGTGGCACGCCACGCTGGAACTCTCGAACGTTCCATCGTACTCTGATTGGCTAGGGCCCTTCGGCTCCTTTTTTGGCCTCTGGAGGCTCCGTTGAAGTTCTCCGGAAGCCGACCCAACACCAATCTATCTGGACCAGCTACCCTTCTCGTTTCAGATGAACTATAGACTTTTGAACTGCTGCTAGAGTTGGGGGACCTACTTCAATGTTCCATTCAGGCTGTCTGGGAATGGTGGGTAGTTGTAGAGTAGCTGAAGGCCGACTGAACTGCTCCTTAAAATGTTCCACCCATCGTTCTAAACGTCTAAGCCGACAACAGATAAGTGCGTCGTCTTTTTCTGCGATTGTCTCACACTTGACTTGTTAATCTCAGTTTATTTTATTAGTCTGTCTTGTGTTACCTACTGCCGTTGCCTTTTCCATCTCTTTCGCTTTCGTTGCCCACCACTGCTCATGATCGTTCCTTTATCTTTTGGTTAACCTAGATCTGATTTGTTTACGCTCTCCATCGTGTTCAGAGCCTGGTGGGCTGGGTCTACAAGAATCTATCAGTGGAATAAACTTAATAGAAATCCACTTTTTTTCGTGACCCTTTGGTTCAAATCACAAGCAGATGTCGCTGCTGTTTGCACAGCAGTTTGTATATCTTTCCAAACAACATCTGGGTCAACCTCGTTTACAGAAGTGCCTAAGTGAGATATCAGTTTTTCCTGGAATCTATGGAATTCGTGTTAGCTCCGTAGTTGCTGGAACATTACCGCCAGATACGGAAATACGTGGGATAAGGTGAGGTGTGCATTTTTAGGATCGACCTTTCTATGGAATAAGACGGAGCGTCTTATTGATTGATTAAAAAGGATTATTACGAAGAAGGAGAGAAAGAGAGGTCAAAGAAATAATACAAATGTTCTTGCTAAATTGCCAACCAACACTGAATCCAGTGATATTGAACGAATTATCGCCAATAGAAAATATTTTTAGGAGAAAAGTACAAATTGTGCCACAAGATCTAATACTAAGGTCGAAGGAAATGGAAATAAGGAAACCGCAGTTCAGTGAACAACGCTGTCAAAACCAGAAATTTTCATTCAGGTGAAGCACATTGGGTGCGGGATTTCCGCAATTCCAGATCACGATAGGTAAGTGAAACATCTATTTATGAAGTGAAAGTGGAAGAAATAATATGGACGAGACACAGTAATCATATAAAAAGACGAGATTGTAAAAACATCGTAGCTACTCAAGATTTGGGAAACTTGCCAAAGATATACTAATGAAATATCAAGCTTACAAAATAAAAACCTATCAGGGACCAGGAACACGACCACGCGACTAGTTGAGATCCCAGTAAGTAAGAAGAAAAACAACAATCCATGAATGGACCCCCTACGGAAAACTTACTCCTATGTATCCACTCAAAAAGAACCGAAGGTGATATGACGGAATAAGTAGGCAAAATTACATGTTTTTTCTCATTGTGGCTTTTGTTCTACATTACTTCCGTTAATTCATTGTAACGATTATTTAGTGTAGTGTTTGTTTTGTTTCCCAGTGGGATATTTTATTCTTTATAACATTAATTTAATTGAGTTCGATGCGTTTATTCAAGGTACAATATTCTTGTATTACATTAACATGGACTATGCTTAGTATAACATGCAGCATGTGATTTAATTATAAGTCTCGGTATATTTTATATGTGTGATTTTACCGTAATTAATAATCGGAATGGGTGTACAATCAATATATATTGTGAGTGTATTACTGAATGGGGTCGTCGTCGTGTTTTTGGGGTTAATAAATGTTCATTTGTACCAGTCTTGCTCTTCATACTTCGCGTCGTCGGGATTGAAGTAATTTATTGCTTTCCCAAGTATAATTAATAAGTGACGTGGATATAAGAATATGAAAACTCATTGTTTTATAAAAAAATTTAGTTAATCTGGTTTATTTATTTGTGTTTACGAGAATTTTCTGGAATACCGATACAGTATAGTGAACAGCTGTGGCGGTTAACACTTGGTTTTGTATTATTATTATTATTATTATTATTATTATTATTATTATTATTAATGGCTTTATTCAGTATTATATTTTGGTACAATATAGAACATAGGATCACGCCTAGCATATGCAGAATTGATAACTGTCTATGCAGTTGTCAAAAGCATGAAAAATGGCTTAAATGGGCGGCCTGCTTGAGCATCTGGGCTACCTGTTCCTGCCATCTAGATATTTCAACAAGTTATCTATCTTTGTTTGTTTTAATATATCATTATGTCTATTAATCGCACAACCTATACTGCTGCGTTTCTGAAAAATGTACAACCTTTCGTTATTAAAGTTACAAAAAGCTCAAAAAGAGAGAATATGGTTGCTGGCAATGTACAACGAAAAGAATGTACATCATTCCCATGTTCATTTACTGGACTGATAACATCTAGCTGGCGACCACTCAGTATTTATCGCGAGGACCGACCAAGAAGAAAGAAACGGAAACTTGTTGAAATACTTTGTGCTGAGAATTCTATATTGTACCAATAATATAATATTGAATAAAGCTATTAATAATAATAATAATAATAATAATAATAATAATTCCATGTAGATTAATTTGATGTTTTCAGAAAGATATATCCAGTGTAGATTATTAATGAAAAAAATGCAATAAATTTGAACAACACATATAAGCAGACAACAGTTTTGAATTAAAGATTCCTTTTAATATACGGCCTAAAGTATAGCTTCATTGTTTTACAACGGCGAATGACTGCAACTTCCACAAATAGTAGGAGCTATAGGGAATTAAACCTACAACCCTAGTTTATGTGTTCTTAAGAAATTTAAAAGCCCCTGCTTCTTTCATAGTCAAGTATGAAATTTAAAAAATGATTTTACTTATTCTTTACATCCTTGATTTTTATTCACCGCCTTTACTACATATTTTCCAGTATCATAATCATTTTTAACGATTGTTACTCTTATGTCTATGTTCTAATGTTTTGAATTATTCTCTATATTGAAGCATCGATTCAAGTTGTTATCATTTTTATCACTACTAATATACCTGTTATCGTATTATCAGTTTGTAAGTTTTACCCGTTACGTGTAGTTATACAATCTCTTTCAATATGATCATTGACTAGTTTAATATTTTTTAATATATGCATATGTTATTAAATATTAAAGTCTGATGAAGGTCTAACTGAACATAATTTTATGCAGTCATATATGTTGTTCTAAATTACATTACGAAAATTTTAAATAAGTTAGAATCACATAAGGATCCAACCACCACAAATTGGCAAAACGATCTTTGTCAATCAACTTATATCAGCCGATATTTTTCTGAGTACCGACAATTGTCTGAACAATGAAAGAGGATTCACAAAGATTTCATAATAAACTAACCATTTAAATATTTCTTCTAAAGTTTCAAAACTATTGAAAAATTATTTGTCAATAAATCGAATAATAAATTATTTTTATTTAAGTGATAATTATTTCAGAATTTTTAACTTAGATACCGTTATGACATGTGGTCGACGGTTATGACTGCGTCACCGATTGTTATATCTGGCCTTCGCTAATTGTTATGTCGGAATCGCTTATTACTTTACTTGTAAAACGAGAAACTATCGCTATTCCCACGACGCGAAAGTAAAAACACAAATACTGATACAAGTGAAGATTTATCAATCCCAGAACACGAAGATGACTTTAATCGAAAATACACTCATTTATACATTGATTGTATACCCATTTTGACTAATAATTAGGTAGAAATCGTATATACGAAAAATACTTGAAGCTATAACAAAACATATGCTGAGTATTGTACTGAGCATAGTCCATGTTAATGTAATACATGAATATCGTTTCTTGGACAAAAAAATCAGAATGAGTAAAGGACTGTAATTTTGCTTTTTAATCCCAGATCCTAACCAAACTATAGCACTACGAAAGTAAATAAATTAAATCATGTTAAACAAACAGCTTACTTATTAGGTTTCGATTCCATCATACGAGTATAGAAAAGAATCTGAAATATTAAATTAGAGAAAATATGAGTACAACAAATAATAGAATAATTAGTTAATTTATGTTTCACAACAATTTTATTGATTGACCATTTGATTGGTTGTACTGTCAGGAGTAAATGAGAAATACATGGAATCATAGTTCATACAATTAGCACCCTTCATAAACTTTTATAAAGCGACAAAAACAAATAATTTGGGATGAAATAAAATAACTTCATCTAGCAATATTCGTTCTAATTTTACATAAGTTATAGTTCAATTGATTAGGTAAATTGAATTAACTCATCAGCAGTGCGCATCCACGAACCCGCCCTTTGCAGGATTCGAACCCAGGACCTACTGGCTTCGCGCGCGAGCACTTAACCATCAGACCACTGAGCCGGCATCCAACGGTGTTAATGTCTAACTTCAACCAATCCACGAAGTTGCGCCATCGAACAGCAATGTCTTCAGTGAGCTGATATCTCACAACAGACCTGGTTGAACTCCACTGGTGACGGCTTCTCATTAGAACTCCAGGAGGTCCTCCCGAAGTCAGTCACTAGTGAGCAGTTGATTATTATCAGAATGAGTTTTGTGGAGATTTTAGTAAATTTCACAGGTTGAAATCATGAGTCAGTTGAAGCTAGACCACCACTGAAAACCTGGAGGCACTGGACGGCCGTTTCGTCCTAGTATGGGACGCAATATAGTGGACTGGTTGAAGTTAGGCACACCGGCTCAGTGGTATAGGGGTTAAGTGTTCGCGAGTGAGACAAAATTTCTCGGGTTTAAATCCCGCGGGCGGGAACTCAAAGTTACGATAAAGCACGATCAGTCGGGATTTGCTTTGAAACACTTTATTTCCGCATTACATCTTTATCACTGAAACATTCTCTCAATAATAAACTTGATAGTGATCGCTTCATTTGTTGGATAATCTAACGTAATGAAAAATCACTGTCTGTTTATAGTGCTTAATCAACTTATTTGACTTTTAACAATTTAGTGAAGCCAGCGATGGTCAAAGAGACGTTTAGTGAAATTAATTTATCAACATCTCAAGATGATTAACTCAACAGCATCATTAAACATGACATGATTTTGTCCTAATCTCTTAAGAAATACATAATAAGACTGTCCAATGACATGTAAAGAGTGAAATTCATGTGTAGTCTTGTCTCTTTGATATCAGCAAGGGAGCACAATTATATAAATTAATGAACTTGAACAACATAATCTTGAAATGAATCATATCATAGATAGTTATCAAAAGAAATCAAAAATAGGCGGTCTTTTGTTTAATAGCTTTAGTTTCATCAAAACTCAGTACACTTCATATATATGGATAAACTGATTCCAGTAAAATGTTGTTCTGTTATGGGTAGTGTAGTCCTAGTTCAATAGATCAGACTTGATAACTTTATTGTAATCTTTTAAAATGTAGTCTCTACTTAGTGATTAATTTTCTTCAGCCGATATAAATTTGTTAAGTGAGAATTACATGAATAGATTATATAATATTGTGTGAAGTAGATGAAAACCTACAGTTTGTGCCCATCCAGAATAATTTCCCCAAAAATCACTAAGAGACTTTGAGATAATATCATATGATTTTGTAGTCATATTTTTACAGGATGCTTCAGGAATTCCTTTCTCACGTGCAACACGATGCATATGAACATCGATAGGGACAACATTTAATTTATCTAACGACATAAGACATATACAATCTGCAACCTGTGAAAATACAACAATAACAGAAAAGGAGAATAAAGTTTACCTTAAGAAAAATTAATGAATAAATAATGAAAATTAAAATAAATAACAAAAGTGTATTAATGTTGTGTTTCAATGTCTTCTTTACAGTATACATATGACAAATTTAAAGACTGTTTGCTCTTCCAAACAACGTTAACCAGATATTGGTACAATAAATCAGGATAACTTTCGGAAATACTAAAACAGACACAACGCAAAACTATTATGTAGAAAAGAGACCATTTAAAAACAACATATGTCGAAATTGTGGTCAAGTTAAGGAAATCTGGAGAAAATTTTCAATGGGACATGCGCTATCAGATGGCGAAATAACGGAGAAAACACTGATTGTCAGAAATTAAATTAGATGTTTCGGAATATTTCTCAGTTTTCAGATAGTTTCTCATCACAAGTTGACATAACCTGTTATTTACCAATAAAAATCAAAGAGCACTAAATAGATATTTTTTTCTCTGTAATGAAAGTTGACTTCATGTTGGACAAAAATATGAATTTTAATATTTAAAGGACTCGAAGGTCTAGTGAAAGTCAGTGGTACGTAGCGTTCATTCATGCCGGAAGTGAGACTGAAATTATCATCGATAACAATACATGATGATTTCACCTACATAGTATTTTGATTGAAGTTGGTTAATCTAAATATTTCAATACAAACGTCAAGAATATGAAAAATTCAGTTTTAGAGATAAAACACTTCGTTTCAATGAACTCTAAATCATGACTTAATATTAATATACAGGTATAAAATGAATACCGAATGCATTGTAACCATATATATTTCAGTAATCGCTTATTAACTTCACAGTGTAAACTCAAGACAAAATTACATAACTGGTTGAAAACTGCATCCAACTATGTGGGAATAAAAATAGAAATCAAGGAATGTAAGAATAAGTTGGACATTACTCATTTCAATGTATATGTTTAGTATTATTTGTGATAATATTAATAGGTAATTATTGGGAAGGATGAAGAGAAATTTAAAGGATCAGATTATCAAAGGAAATAATATTAAAATAAAGTTAATAAATAAGAATGAACCAAATTAAGAACAGCAAGAATGATCTTGGAATCGAGTGAAAGAGTTAGATAAATTAAGATTATGGAAAACATTTTTCTCCACACAAAGAGTAGATTTATCTATGTGCAAACCCATGGTTTCCGCTTTACACAAAAAACGAGATCTGGAAGTGTAGTCTACGCTTGATAGAATTCTACATATAACTTTGAAAGCTAACTTCGCATCGATTCAGTGACCAGTATCCATTAAATGTGTCAAAACATAGCTTCTTAAAAATATCACGACATATTTACCTGAATGTACGTTCAATATATAACAAATTGAATATATGTACCATTGAATTATAACTCAATAATCAAAAGATATCCTTCTTGCAGTGAAATTTGAAGGTTAAGTTTAACCCCGGATCACTAGTTCTTACATGCTAAATAATTTTAAACTACAATCACAAAGCCATCTAGTACTCGCATACTTTAAATGGTTCTTCCACTAATACGCTAGTTCGTAATAAAATTAACTTACAAACAAACGATAAATTGAAATCTATGGACAATGATTAGTATAGAAAGAGATGAAAATGAAATATCTATAGAATTCAGTGTTTGAAGTGGTTTAAAATAGCCATTCTTAAATGCTGATTAGAGGATGTTGCAGTAAATCAGTAGTTGGAACATTTGATTGTTTTAACCTTGAAGTCAGATAATTTGCACTTCATCGTATACACTTCAGTCAGGAAAACAGATCAGTGTTAATAATATCATTGAAAGTATTTGAAATATAAGGAAGAACAAAATAAAATTTAGTGACCTTCTTCCCGACTCCAGGTATTTGAAGCAGAAATGCCTGAGCTTCAAAATGGGACATGGAACGAAGTTCAAGTAGACGAGATCGACCTCCATTGTTCAAAAGCCAGTTAGCAGCAAGCCTGAAATAATTCAAACATGAGGATATTCAGGAAAAGACTCGTAATTTATGAACAAATATATTTCAGATATTTATAGAAAAATTCTTCAATCCATTTCAGATAGATACTTCAAACAACAAATTATTTTTCCTCATGAATACAAATCAGAAATTTATGAAAAGTGTATCAACTGTTACGATTGTCAGTAACGGGCATCAACGAAACACTATAGAATGACTACATTAATAAACCTCTCATCAGCCTTTATAAGGGCACGACAGAAGCCGAAATCCATGTCCCTTCGTATACAAAAGTCTATGTTTTAACGCTGATAATATTTTGATGGAGTTTTGTTTTCTGAGCTGCATAGTTTTGGTCGTGACCATTACACCAACTGGTTACATATTAAAATCACCAGCAGCGATTTCTACACTTGAGGGTCTTACTTCTGATATATAGTAGAAAGTTTCGATAGAATGTACCATTTACTTCCTCCATGCTACAGTTAGAAAGGGCGTAGGCAGAAAAGCTAGTGGTATTTATCCTCACCTTTCTGAGTCCTACTTATATCACAGTCTAGCAGCTGGCAACGTCTGTCAACAAAAACATTTAAGAAGCGTCCATTCCGTTTTGAAACTTAGTACTATGCCTATCCCTATCATGATCACAAGAAGTTACTGACGGATATAGAGATACAAGAACAATAGATCAGGCGAGTTCATTATATAAATTGGATGAAGTTAAGTGGATGACCAAGCTAGGATCCAGTTTGCATGATTCCCAGACGCATCTCACATCGATGATACGAGATTCTAAAGGCTTACTTAGTGAATATTTTGTTATAAGACAATCAGAAAGTGTATCGATATACTAATGATAAAACATAATATAAAGGATTGTATACAAAGGTTCCAGTGAGCATAAATTATTATTATTATTTGAACACATAAATATTGGTACAAGAGAGCGCCAACATATATGCGCCACACAAAATAAGCACAAAAATAATTGTAAATAATGAACACCCACGTAATAAACTTGGAACGATAACCAAAACCAATTTTTTTCAAATTATCCTGCATTCCAGGTTGTGCAAGTATTTCAAGTGATGGAAATGTCCAATGCCTTAGATCACCATTTCCCAAGTACAATGGATTACCATATTCACTACACAATTTACAGAGTAATTTAGTAATTCTTGTTAAATTATTATTAGCTGATGTAATGAAAGAGAATAGTGTTTCTTCTGGATCTTGTCTTAATAAGCGTAAACCACGAGCTGTATCCATTTGACAATTTTTAGAGAAACGATTCTCAAACCATTCATCCTTCAAAGACCATTCCTTCACAAGATCAGATAAATTCATATCCAATCTAAAGTAATCACGTAAATCAAAAGGAACATCGTTTAATTTTATACCCAAATTTTTCTCAAAATAATATTCAACTGGGTTAGAATCCTTCATTTGACGTAATCTCCATAAGTGACCATTTATTACTCCATGCCATTCATTCAGAGTTGAATTAAAAATCCAGCTATAATATGGAGAAACAAATGTATAAAACTGAACAGCAAGTTTACTTCATGGGAAACAAACATTAGTTTGTTTAGTGATTTGCAGAACAAGTAACGAACGTGGAGAATGAAACTGTATCTAGTATATTTTGGTGGATTTATGATTATAGTTATTATTTAGATCAGTTAACATTCACTATCTAAAAAGACATGATCATCAGAAAGTTAACCTACGAATAATAAGCAGTATACAATAATCAACCCAAATCCCAATTGTCTAGATATACTACTAAATAATAATTCTTGAGAAAAATGAGTGAAGTCGAAATTCGGTTTACTGCCATCTAAGTCACAGTATTAAACTAGGCGAGACGATAATTTATGGACAACCCAATCAGGTATAAGATAGCAGGTCTCGAATTCACTCAGCCATTTGGCTAAATAGAGTTTTGGCATTATAGCTGATGCCAGTTCGTTATGAAAACCCTAAATTTTTACAACTTATGATGAGAATATAATTTATAGACGACCTTTAGGCGACGCTAAAATGACCTTGAGAATATCCACCTACCAACTCGGATTAAATGAGGGTTAAAAAATGCAGTGAGATTTACAATTGATAGTCAGGGTTAGGAACTAGATTTGGGGTTTTCATCACGAACTAACATTACCTAAAATGCTTAAACGATATTTAGCCAAACTGATGAATAAATTTCGCACCAAAGTCCACGACCTATTATTTCCTATCTGACTGAATCGTCCATAAATTATAGTCTCACCCAACTTATTTATGAAGACTACAAAAGATGGAGATTTTCTTCTGACAATTCTGGAATATATATCGTACTCCACAACCTATGTATCACGTGGCATCAGTTGATATGCTTATTTGCTTAACAACTGAATCAACAAGTTTGGTAAATTCAGTTAGGTATGCTAATACCTTAATTTATTCACTTGTCGATCTTTTGAAACGATATAGTTTCATAGACTTAATTTAAACACAGATTATAAATTCCACACACTACAACAATCATGTGTAAGTAAAACCGTACATTTTTTTGGTTGTGATACATTAAGAGGATTTTTGTCCGAAACTAAGGGAGACGGGTCACGTTTAGACGTGAAGGATGACTAAAAAGCAATGAGTTTCCAGTTATTATAGAGATTGTGAAGAAGACAAAACCGGAATAAAGTGGAAAGAACTCGCAAGAAAAGACAATCAGTTACACATATAAGAATTATATCAGGCATTATTTTGAGAAATAATCTACTAAAAATATTCTTCTTAAAAGTAGCTACAAAACCATTTATTATGAAAAATTAGGTGCAGCGAATATCAGAAAAGCATGATAATGGACACGTGGCTTCCACTTACTAGTATTAACATAAACGTCTTTCGAGTTTTTTGCTTTTAGAAATGAACATAACAATCACCGAGTTACGACGTATTCACAACGCGTCGAGTACAGTAACAGCCGTATTTTTGAGTCATAAGTTTTTTATAAAATGAGTGGTGATTAAAATTTTCTATCGAGAAAAACTATTAATAATAGGGTGGTAGACCCGATTTTATTTTAAGATCACTTGTATACTGCTTTTCGAAACTCAACAACTTGTAAATCTAGCGAAAATATGAACTAGTAACCTCTACCTAAAAAAAACTCTGAATGTCTCAGACCGAAACTGCACTACAGAAAACACATTGTACCCTTCATTAACCAGTAATATCTAGACAAATCATTATTTTTTACGTGAATACGGTGAAAATATCAATCTCTACCGAATATTTGTATCCTTCAGTGGAAACTTTGATAAACAATAGGATAACAACATACCGTTCCTATATGCTCTGTGAAAAAATGTCAATTTGCTCAATACTGTATATTAAAAGATGATGAGAATTATTTCTCTAATGTGTTTGTAACAATATAACTCAGAACTAAACTACATAGACATAGATAGGTCACAAAATGTATTCTGACGATTAAGTGAATATGGTATTTTTGAAAGTATAATAGCAGTAAATTATAAGTTAGACGATTGAATGCTGTTTTGAATATCAGCTAATTTATCTAGACAATTATATTAACACAGACAAGTACATCACAAAAATTCAAGTGAAGTATTTTACCAAAATCTTACGAAAAAGTTTTTTAGGCATTTTAGAATAAGATCCCATTTAACAAAATTTTCCACTTTCCTATTTCGCTGTAATACAAATAATATCAATACCATTAGTTCCCTGGAAAAAAATACAATTCACTTAAGTCCCTAAAAAAGCGATACCCACCGGAAAGCTTGACCACTATTTAAAGTCGAAAACAAATTGAAATCCTGTGGATCTACAGGAATTGAATGCCAATTTTTAACTTGTCTCTAAAACAAAAGTATAGGTCAATGCAAGACAATTTTCAATCTCAATATTGGATTGTCTTGTTTTAAAAAGAATTAAAATATAAATTCCGAATTAAGCATTGAGTGTTTGATTTGTGTGTAATTTCATAAGTTTAAATTTGTAGAAGCAATATAGCGCAAGCTTATGTCACAAACTTTCTGACAGTTAAATATACTGAATTCGCATTCTTAAAAAACCATAACAACTACCAGTGACTTACCATGATGCTGTGAAAACTGTAACACCTTTTTAAACGCAATAACAACTGACAACAGTTACGCAAATAATTCGAGAAACTAATTCAGCCTACGACGATGTGAATATCTAAATAACTGAAATGGTGTGAAAATTTCCTTATCAACTATATAGTAGTGTGGTCAATTCATAAAATTACAGACTTTAGTAGTTTCAAAATGCTTAGTTAGGATCGCCGGGATAACCGCAATCAGTGGTTGAATACGTCGGGTGGCATGGCTCAGAATCGATTACAACAGAACAAACGCACCTATCTTATTCTAGAACTTGACTTCCAGTATTCCGTCAATCTTTAGGAACCATATTTTCAATGATTAGTTTTTATCATCACTGTTACCACTATTATTCCCTTCCTACCGATTTTCATTTAGTCGTGCTTCAGTATGAAAACTTAAATTAATGCAGATTTTCAGTAGACTCTACGTTGATTATAATAAATTGATGGTGGTCTGACATGTACGGAAACAAATTTGGAATAAAGTAAGCATAGAATAATTCATTAAATCATGAGCAATGAAAAAATATAAACATATCTACTTCTTATCTTCTAAACACATTAAACCAATACTTGTTTTCTAATACTGATTTCCGGTAGTTTCGACAATATCATCTGGACGATTATGCTTGTTGACGTTTCAATGTCAGTAACTGAAACAACATACTAAGAATATGTATTATGATCAATCAGCGACGTAACAACCATGTTAATCCCAACTACACAGTGAATATTTTTATTGAGTAAAAACAAAAGCCATGAAAATGAACTAATAATCAACAATTGGACGAACAAACATACATTATACACACCCATCCACTCATTTTTCCATACACAGCATTGACAACAGTTTTAATGATTCCAAAACGAAAACCGTAATTCTAAGTGAAACTTGATATATATATATATATATATATATATATATATATATATATATATATATATAAATCACGAACAATAAATAATATGCTTTAACACTTTCGGATCCTAACATGAAAGCAACAGTAACAAAGATAAATAAGGAGGGAGAAAAAAAGAATCACATTGTTTGATAATTTCCATAATAATAATAATAATAGTAATAATAATAATAATGATTATCATCATCGTCAGTGTAGTGAAACGATGACAATTATAATAGAGCAAACAATTGGAAATAATTATAATTTTTGTTTAAAAAAAAATTAATTGTCTAACTTTGTATTTATAGAAATGCAAAATAAATCACAATGAATGTGGAGTGATTGATTAATGAATTTGGTGAAGCCAATTAACATGTGTATCAGTGACTGAATGAATATAAATGATCAGTAGATGGTAACAAAAAATAATCCTCATTGAAATTAGGTGATAACGATGATGATTATGATGACTAAATGTCATAATATGGCGAACACGCAAAACTGAACATTGTTATTATTATTATTATCATAGAATACCATGAAATAATAAACAAGTAATGACTAAAATAATCATAAACAGATTGAAAACTAACTAACAAATAATATTCTACAAGTAATTAAGTAGACAGGTAGGTATAAGTTAAACTAAATAATCAAACAGTACAGAAGAGGGATAGGCATAGAGAGAAAGATGAAAGAAAACCTAGCATAAAACAGAAATGAGTAAATTAGATACAATTCAATCAAGAATGCACATACACATGTGCATTTAAAACTAGCGAGAGATTTTTTATTCTAAGGACAAAGTACAAAACATATTTGCCTTATGCTTTTAAAAGTTTTATCAAAAGAGAAAATAACAACGGCAACGACATTAATAACAACGATATATATATAATGGGAATGATAAAGAATTCTCATTGCTTATCGTCATCAACATTATTAATGTTATAAATCTATTTTTTTTTGCCAAGATGAAACCACATTGCAATATAAATTATAAAGAATGCTCCATTGGATTGGTCCATCATAGACGCATTAAAATTGATCAGATTATTAATTGAATATAAACAACAATACTAACAATGATGACACAACTATTCAATTTAGATCAATTGTTCAATGAGTTTGGCTAAATGAGATGAGACGATTTCTCTTGTACTGCGAATAGTAAGGCAATACATCTGAAAGAAAAAATAAGAAGGAAACGAGAAAAAAAGATTTTTAATTTATTAATTAAAAAAGCGGTAATTAGTAAGACCAGTTATGTGTAGTTGGTAGTGTACATAGATCAGGGAAAAACATGCAATTGATAAAGGGATCTAGATTTAATTGTATTACAAAAACCTGTGATGAAATGAAAACTATTCATAATGATACAATTGAATTAAACTTCCTCTACATTGTACATATAAAAAGTAATGAACATTATTTTATATTATAACAATCAAATTGCGATCTATTTGATTAATCTTTCCATCTAGTTCACATTTAATCAATAACGTTGTATTAATATTACATTTCCTATTTCTGTATTAATAACAGAGAAAAGTTATTTGAATTAAATTACATCAGAATAATGTAACTTATTTGACAAGTACTATTTATCAATAACTATTATGACTGTAATGTTATTTGATATCTAGAGAAAGATGTACCAATAAGAACCCTGGTTATAGTATTTCTACGTAGAGTACACTATTCTGACCATAACTTATCATCCTAAATCTTGAACAATAATAAGCTTTAACTGGCAAAATTAACTTTGCGTTGAGGTCCAGTTAATTATAACTTATTAGTTCCAATGACACACGCGCCTTCTAACATCCGCAGTTTTGAGTTTCAATAGCACAACAAACAAACCAAGATAGCTTCTATCACGATATTCCGGGCATTTAGTATATTTAAATCAAACATTTATTAGTTTATTTAGAAGAATTATTATATTGAACCCCTCCCCCAATAAATAAATCATCCTTTATACGCAATCATGATATAAGTAACAAGAAACGAAGTAAACAGTGGTTAACAATTATTAAGGAATATTAAAACGTCTAACAAAATTCAGTAGATTTAAAGTAAGCTCATAATACCAGGTACACAGCAATACAGTAGTCCAGTAATTTAATAAATATACATTAATAGCCAACGCTTCCAATTTTTTCGAATAATTTAAATATCTTATTAAAAGTTCGAGTTTGAAGATAAAACGTTTCACATCGCCAAATAAAGAAAAGAATGAATCTCGTGTTTCGGTTGTTCTAAACAATAATTTCAGTTCAGAATTGTGAAACGAAATTGTATTTAAATGACTATTCAAAGAATTTCCTATAGGTTAAAGTAATTTCGCTAAAAATAAAGTATTTTAGTATACTAACAAATGATCGCTCCGAAATTTCTACTTTATAATTATATTAGTTATTAAAAAACAAGTAGTATGACGAGTGTAGAATAAATTTCTATCATGCTGTCGCAAAATGATGCACAAATCATCAATCAACATATAAAGGTTATAAGAAAGAATTCGATAATAATAAATAGTGTTTAAAGAATTATCTGGCCGACTTTTTATCATGCACAAACATGAGTAACAATTTTCAAATATTTCAAGGACATAAATAAGAATCGCAAACAAGAAAAGTGGTTGATTTTAAAAGTTATTAATTAGACAGTACCCCAAACATATAAACATAAATCCAACTTTATAGTAACATCAATATTACCAAGTAACCAAGAGTGAAAGTTCATAAAATAATCAATATACAGTTTTGAAAGACGAATATTCACGACTTCATCACAAAAAATCTTTCAGACAGAGTACAAATCTATTCCAGTGATCATAACACTGCAAAGACTAGTACTGCATATATATATATATATATATATATATATATATATATATATATATATATATATATATATATATATATATATAATGTTATGTCTAAGTACGGGATTAATGAATAGTTTAAAAGGAGTCACAAAATTAAATCACCGTACAAATATCTAAAAAGTGCAATATCTACAACTGCTACACTATTTTAAGTGTCGTATATTCTAAGAAGCATTAATCACCTCAAGGTTAGAGCTATAGTTAACTGAAAACCGGCTTCATGTAAGTCATTTTAGGTAGCTCGATGTTATCATTATTAGTCAACACAAAGACATTGGCACGGAGTCATGCTCAAGAATTAATAGTTGATCATTACGTTGCACTACCTCATAAAGTACTATGTTGACGGGTATCAACAAACAAGAAAACCGAAGTTCTACATTTTATACCAAGCATACCAACATTCAAGTAACAAAAAAATAAATCTACCTTTATTTGTGTATTCGGTTCCAATCGAAGTAGTACACCGACTTGTTGACTACTAGTTACAACAATACCTGCACCAACAACATTATTTGGATTAGGATCAATTCCATCCAGTAAACCAAATCCAAAGTTTTTAGTCTACAAATAAATATAACGCCGGACATAATGAAAATATTTATTTTACATGAAGAAGTCAACGTGAATAGCAGTGTTACCGACAAAAACAGAATAAAAATACGATCAATAGAATTTTAAATAAAAATATAATGTGAACGAATGAGCTTTACATTTACTACAAAGATAAGAAGGACTACTACACAATAAACACTACTATACAGTCATTTAGTAGTGTTAATGAGCAATAGAAATAATTTGTTTTCGAAACCAGTATGCTAGAAAAGTTGAGATTAACAAAAGTAGAGTTTCGAATTACCAGTCATTATGAAATGGTATTTTGACAAAATTGAATAAATGATATACGCAATAAAAGAAACATTGTGTGAATCTCAGTTATTAATTAGGTGATTGAAACAGAATTTCAGAAAATGAAAAAAACTCAATCATCTAAGATAGTATCGTATAATCAGACTATGGGTTAAATATACAATTCAGAGAGTTTAAATACTCGTAAATCTTGATTTTATTTTAAATTGCTATATCTAGGTGTAAACCATGAATTAGGTTAAGTACATATTACTCAAATTTAAGTACCACATTCAAAATTTACATACACATTGTAGATATATTCACAT